ACAATGTGTTTCTGGCCAACAGACCAGACCAGACATAGAGAAAAAAATTGCAATTAAGAAGACAATCTGGGTGTAAAGAATAGCACAGGAGGATTCAGTTGAGTCGATATTTCAATATCAACATACCTCCTCGGATCACTTTAGTCTGTTACCTAGTTTCTGTTACCATCAAAGTTTCAAGAGGAACAAAAGCTAGTTTTTTTTAATCACATGATCCGATTTCTTGAGGTAGACCTGAAGCTACAAGATACTTCTTTCACATACAAGAACGAGCCACCAATAGCAAAATCCAAAACGGCTTTATAATAGCGTTTCATCCCATAAATACGTGTTTGAATCTTGGTGTAAACAGAAAAGGTCAACAAGTATAATCACTTTTGCAAGGCACTGTAGCAGTAGAAAGACTCTGTCACACTTCCAGTCTATTGGAGGGTAACTGGTTTAAAACAGCAGCCCTAATCCTTGAATTACAATCCTGGAGATTTAGCAAAAAGGATTTGGCCATCAGGAAGAGAGTTTGTGGTCTCCATAAATCTAAAATACACACTGAAGGTACTTATTTACACAAAGTCTTTACCTGTAGAGGTATGTCAGGGCAGATTCTTTTCTGCTTCGCGAGGCTTGGTGACATTAATGCCGTCTGAAGGTTGCTCTCTATTGGAGTGAAAAATATCTCAAAATACATTTTAAAAAAATTATAGAAACCAAAAGAAAAACAGTCATCATCCACTCTTTAAATAAAATGTAAACATCTCAGAAGAGTAAAAGTACCTCAATATGTGGCAACAGCAGAAAGACCTTGAAGTAACCTCGTATACTTCAAAATGCACATTCCCGAGACAATTCCCAACACCTCCCTTCACAGAGTGATGGCTGCAACAAAGCCTATGAAAGGTTTTACCTTCTGTGGTGGAGAAAAACATGTTTTTAAATGTCCCAGAAACTTCTTTCACAGGACTACAAAAGAATGATGAAAATGACGGCGAATTGCCGAGCGCCTGTACTAAAAAGAAACCTCCCGCTCCCAGATTTACTCACATCCAACTGAAATGTGGAAATCTGAAAGCTGCAGGTTGAAATGTTGATTGGCTCGGGGAGACAACGTGCTGGGAATCTTCAAAACAATATTCACAACAGGGAACTTCAGATCTGCTTCAAAGAAACCTTTTAAGTGTGACTCAGACAAAGAAAAGAAACAGATTTTTCTCAACACAGAGTCAACAGGATTTCCAGGCTGCAGCAGAACCTCATTAGAGCAGGATTAGGACCAAGATTTTAATTTGAAAAAGCTTAAGTGAAATAACATAGTGGACACTGTAATCATTTTTTTTTCCATGATTTTTATTTTAGACCAAAATGTTTTCATTCTCTCCCTCATCCATCCCATATCTACTAGTCATGGGTTGTGACTTTTTTTTTCAAATAATTAGATCAGAATTTCCATCCATTTCTAGGCAACTATTTTTCTGTGATACTTTCAAATTTCCAACACCACTGGACAACTTTGGATCAGATCTTCCATGAACATATCGTACTTCTGTGTTGTACAGATGACAGAATTTCATCCCCTGAGTCCTAATTACATTTTTAATTATTTAAAGAGCTGAAATGCTGTATGGATAATTTTCTTTTTCAAGTCAGATATGCTTATTTAACTCAGCAAATTTGTAGTGCTATTCTGCACAATTCCTCAGTAGCATGAACACCCAGCACCAAGCAGAAGAGACCAGCAATAAATAAATATATGCATTGTGTATGGCTCTGTCTGGTTATTAACGTTGTCTATGCAATTAGACGTGATTAAGTCAAAATGGATTGGAGCTTTTTTTTTTTTTTAAGAGGTCCTGCAGTCTGTTCAGCTGCTCACACATGGCAGTGGAGCAGCAACACTTCATACTTAACCCTTACAGAGCATCTAAAGATATTTTATTTACCTGGATTGGAATACGGCTACACTTTAGGACACTTTGAAATACATTGTTACAAAAAAGCAGACAGTCACCCAGTACTACTACTATGTGTGCAGCATACACAGACACAAAACAAAATGCAGTCCTCATACAAAGCAATTTGGAAGCAAGTTGTTAAATGCTCATTTTTATCAAACCAGTAGTATTAGGAAAACATTGGTCAGTTACCATAAATATTATCATGGTATTCGACAAAAACCATCGTTAATGCAGGAGTTTTCAATGAGTGTTAGAATCCTGCCAAAAGGCACACATTAGCAGAACACTGGTCAGCAACATTCATTAAAAATCCATTAAAAAAATAAAACAGGATCAGCTACAACCTTTCCTTCTCGCCACTGGATCGTTACAGAAAGAGGTTTTCCTTCTGGTCACTGCACATATTTTCTCATACAAGATGAGAAGCATGAAGAAAGAAAGAAAGATTTAAGAGACTGGAAGATGCTGCATTTTTTGTAGGGAAGCCACTTTTCTCTAAGCTTTTGATTCCCGAATTTAAGAGACTAATGATATCTTCTGAATCCAAAACAAAACATCTCTGCTTGACACCAAAGGCTTAGAATAGGCATGCCTAAGTTAAAAAGAAGAGATGCAACACCCAGAACTCAGACATTAAATAAATAATAATAAAAAAGAAGGTATTCCAGAATCAGTTCTCCCCAGCCAGCGGCGACTGCATCAATCAGTCCCATAAACTCAGCATAATTTACTCTGCAGCTTCCTCGGTCTGCCATTCATCTTTCTGTCTATATCCTTCCAGATGTTTGATCAGGCTGACATGGGAAAACCACTGCTCCTCGGCTCTCTTGACGGATCCTCTAACAAGTCTCTCTTCCTTTGCTTCTGCTTCTCAGTCACTGGAGATTTGTGAGAGCTTTGTTAACCACCACCTCCTGCTCGTCCGCCCCTCACACACCCTCCGGGGAAGGTGCCACCGAGTCAAGGAGCTGACATGACTCATGCACTCGTGAGGCAAAAAGAGATAAGTTTGAAATGTTCAAGAGAAGTGGCTGTTTAAACCACAAGCTTCATATTTAATCCTTTCAGCAATTTCTGAGCAAGAGAATGCAAAATGTGACAGCTCTGATATCGACAATGGTGAATTTTACAACAAATGCATTTTTAAACACCATATCCACCAATACTTCTGAGAGATAAGACTTTTCATCTTCTGACAGATTTGTGCAGCGAGCAGGGAAGGGGTGGAGGGTATCATGTAAATCAGCGCTGATTAAAGATAGTGTTTGGCCTCCATTTTAGCCTCAGCGAGCCCTAAAATCAGCGGCAGCACCAGCTCCACTGCTCATGCATTATAATTAAATTTAAATCACAAAGATAAGGATCTTTTTCTGGAAGATTAAACCACACGACTGATAATACCTCACCCCACAGGGAAGGCTTCTTCTCCTTCTATCTGAAGATGGTTTTCAATTATACCCAGTGTACAAGTGAGCACCACATTTATTGGCACCCCTGGAAAAGGTTTATATTAATATTGCAAACAATAAATTTACAGCACAAGCTACACTAGAATAAGGATTTATAGGGACAATCATTTTTAACTGATGTTTGCTAACTCCAAGAACCGACTGAGCCTTTTGTTGCATTTCACTTTGAAAATGTTTTTATTCTTGGTTCCATTGTTAATGAATATCTCTATCTTTGAATATGATTAAAGAATTATTTGGGCTAATCAGCAAAAAGTAAAAATCACAGTGTTTACATGAGCACTGACATGCAGTCACAGTGATGCAATACATCACTGGAAAAAGGCTGCAAGTAATTTTGAATTTTAGTCACTTTCAGTCCTAAATATTGATGAATACTGAACACATTTTAGATTACATCAAAAGTAATCTAAAATGAAATGTGTGGCTATTAAACAAACAGCTGAAGCTTGAAACTGGGTCATCGAAGGGGAAAATCATCACAAACACACCAGCATATTCACATCAGAACAGTTCAAAAATAATGATGATACTGATATACTTCTTTCATTCTGTGGTGGGGTCTTTAGAGAGCCGTTCACAAGCAAAATCTGAAAACCTTAAAATGAAGCATTAATTTATTGCTGTGTCTGTTCAGTAAAATCTGAGAAAACTATTCACAGCAGTTCATGCCTGCTTGCATTTGAATTTTGCATGTAAAATACAAGAACACACTAAATCTACTAATAAAACCATTTTGAAGAAAATATTTTCTGTCCATGTTTGCATTTTTTCTGACTGCCCACAAAAGTGTGCCTCTGTATTTCTAAACCACAGCAGTAATACTCAGCCATCTCCAGCTGCAGCATTTTCCATCTCTTCCTGTCTAACCAACAGCAGCCTTTAGAAAATCCATCAATAGCTCCCTTTCACACTAGCCCAGATGTCGACTCAGAGAGCCAGAACATCAACAGTCTCCCATCCACACAGGCAGTAAACAGGCTCCCCCGACACAACCCACACCACCACTCACACCACCATCCTCAGAAACTCAGTCCTGATGATATCCACTCTGAAACGCATTTTATAGACACTTCGCCAGCATTTTAGGTAGACTGCAGTATTTTAAAACTGATTAGAGTGGAGTAACTCAGCTTCATCCTCACCCAAAGCAATGGGAAAGAAAAAGAACTTGCTATAAGATTCTGCCCTCATTTTTAAATGTATGCACTGCAGAGTGCCCTGCTGCAGATGACTCTACTACAAAGATATACTTTCACTCAGCAAAGTCACATTGAATTAACCCTCAGAATACATGCAAAAGGTGTCTGGCAAGCGTAGACAATGGCATGCTAAATAGGAGGAACAGTGGTTAACAGAGGTAGTTTCCCAGCACGTCAAAGAAAGGCACTCAAGTTAGAAATACCTGCAACTACAGAATGGACGGAGAGAGAGGGGACATGCCTGGGAAGGAGGAATTGCCCATTCTCCGCCTTGATAAAACAGTTTACTGTCCTTTACCGCACCGCCAGTTTATCTTCTTTTTTTCCTTATAACGCCTAATATCCTGTCCATGCACTCCTCTACTGTTGTTCCTTCTTACTCTGTTTCTTCTCTTGGTCCAGGCTTATCCCTTTCCTCTGAGAGCATCCATATCCCAGCTTCTGGCGCAGCTTTGTCAGCATGTGTGAAGCGCTCGGCAGGACAGGGATGCTCCGTCTGTGATGGGGATGAGAGCACGCTGGAGTGCAGCGGCGCTTTTAACCATGTCTCACCATGGCCACTGAATAAACTCATCTTTTATGAATGCACAGCCCTCCCCGTTCCGATTCTCTTAAAGGGCCTGCGTCTCCTCCCTGCTGCCTTTGATCTTGTCATTGCACAGATTGGATTTAACTCTTGTTCTCAAAGGTTTTGTTAGAAAAACACACTGCAGCATGTATTCAGGGCATCATTATTTGGACTTGTTGCCTTTTATGCGACTTATTTAATTATAAAAGGGAGTCCACATAAAGAAAAAAAAAGATGCAGATGTTTCTAACATACCAATAAGAAGCTAATGATGGTAATAAATTACTAATTCCACGGTACCTTTAATGGTGCTGACTGTGCACGTGTGATGAAACATTGCAGACTAAGCTAATCTCCAATAGGGTGCACGTCTGCCTTCTTCAAAAAGAAACTTTTGAAAGTAATTTCTGCCCTAGCGCCGACTGTAATTTAATCCAGAGTTGAAGGCCATGAATTAATGACACACAGAGGGCTTGTCACTGTGACTGTTCAGGGTCAGAGGATTTGTATGTCGTCCACACCATGACACCTGGTAATGAGATCCTAAGGGGCAGATGTAAAGAATCATTCGGTCACAATTTATTTTAGAAAAGAATTCTGACCCATCTACAAGATTCTTGTTTAAAAAAAAAATACAAGGTTCCTACAAAATAAAATCCAGAGAACTTAAAGAGGTAAAATGGACAGATGGAAAAACTATTTATATCTGCTGGATTTATATTCATAGCCAGCAGATTTATATCTGCTGGAAAGATGATTCCAAAATTGACTCCAATTTTGGAATCAAATTCCAAAATTGTTCAGCCTACATAGAAATCATGATCATAGAAGCATATTCAAATAAAAATCCATAAATATTCAATAACTTCCAGTTATTTTGCTCTACATATACAGATACCAAAGTACAAACAAAGCAAGGACAAAGAAAGAAAATGATTGGGCAACAAAACAGAACGAAAACAAACAAGACAGGCGCACAATGCTGCACTTTGACAAGCAAGTGAAGTGGACAGGACAATGCTTGGTGACCTGAACTGACTTACTGGTAAATAAAATAAAGCAATAAATTAAAGATGGCACTGACTGGGACTTGAGAAGGAGGATATTTCTGTTGTGAAAAAGTATCCTCTGTAAAGTTAGCCTGAAATCTGCCAACTGTCTCCACATTGCAGACTAAAGATAATAGAAGAATATATTGGTAAAACATTTTGCTAGTCTTATTTTTTCTGCCCTAAAATCACATTAAAAGTTCAGTCTAAGGCACTATTCTCTTCATCCTTCTGGTGAGATAATTAGCACTTCAACTCCCAACTCAGCTGGACATAAATTTCATCCTATAAAGGAAGAAGTAAGAAAAACATAATATGAGATTTCAAATAGGGAAAAATAACTTGTGTTTAGAAAGTCTTCCTGTTTACCTTTCTTATAACAATTTTTGTTTGTATCCTGCAATGAAACTTCGGAATATTTACAATTAAGTTTGAAGAAAGAAAGGGAAAAAAATCTCAGTAAGTGAGGCGAAGCACGGAAGAAATGCACAGAAGGAATAAATACAGAGCAGAAACAGAAAAGACGGCTAGAAGATGAGATAATAACACATTCATGGACACAGTGTTGACTGCTGTCAGGAGGAGCAGCTGCTCTCTTGCTCCATCTGGTCAGAGGAGGTGAATAATGAATCAGAATGATGCTGATGTGCACTTACTCTAACCTCACATAGCTTACATGCACAACACCAGCAACAGTCTGCAGCAGATGAAGAGACAAATGCAGAGAACTTCAAAAGGACTATGTCCTTGCAAACTGCTGCATGTCACCTGAGAGGACGTTGGCAGTGGACAGCAGCTGGGCTAATGAAGATAACTGAAGACTTCTGTGCAGCAACAACGAGATGCCAACCAAAATAACATCCAAATCCAGTTAGCTTGCTTGTTAAGAAAAAGAAATGGTCTGAATGAAAGATATTCTAAAGAAATAAATGAGATCACCTATTTGCTGCAATGTAGTTGCAGATATTGATCCATCCATCCATTTTCTTACACCCTTGTCCCCATTACGGGAACTAGGGTGTATTTTGTTGTCAAGACATATTTGCACTCACAAAAGTTTACACATTTGCAGCGTCTCAATGAGGCTACAGGTTTGTCTTGCTAGAGTACTACATGTAACAAAGGAAAGACAGAAAAAGCAGTCGCCCATCAAAAAAAATAAAAATAAAAACATTTTATTTATGCAGTCATTCATAATGTGGGCCTGATCTAACAAGGTTTATTTTTGCCTGTCCATGGTGTTGTAGATGATTGGGTTTCTATGAAATACACTAGATCAGCATCTCAACCCAAATCTGCTGAACATGCCCAACAACTGAGATGCTTTTGGCAGTAGAATAACAAACCTGCTCCATACGAGTAAATATTTTTAGTGCTGCAGTGGTCATTTTACAACATACCTCTGTTTTTTTATCTACAATTTTTCCACACACAAAATAAAGCAGCAACATTGCCATTTGAAATTCAAATAACAGCTGACTTTGCCTTTAACTGAGTCTGAAAGCTTTTATGTTCCAATTCATTTTCCAAACAACATTAACAGCAGTAAATGTTTCACAACAAAGAACTGCCAAAAACTATCATGGAAATGAATCTGTGCACCTGGTCGAATGTTTGTCTGACAGGGATCTGCACTTACTGAGTCAGCCAGGGCAAAAGACAAGTGAGCACTGGAATAATCCCCTTTTAAATAATTATTTCTAAGATGAGAGCTCAAATCCTCCTGTTGAAACAACAGATAATTCAACCTTGGAACAATAATATGCTTCAGCAGCAACAGCTCGTATGAAGGCAATTTAATTGGAATATTTTGCATGGATAACTGGATTAGCAAGTCAAAAATCCTCATTCAAAATCAGGGATTTCATCTATAATTAAAAGACAGACCAATATTTAATATTCAGGATGCTTAATACAAACTGTAACAAATATGAAAATGCAGATATCTGTTGCAGCAAGCATGTAAATGCAGCAAAAACTTGCTTTTGTTGTCAGAAAATTTCAAGCAGCAGAAAAATTCAGATCCTTCCACAGACCTTTAGTAGGGCCAAACTCAGGAGGCCAGTTTGGGCAATGAATGACCTTAAACTGGTCTTTGGGTCACATTCAGCATTTCTTCCTCCAGACAAGGAGAACTGAGTTTATGGCACAAAGGTTAATAGTTTTACCTGATCACTTCACAGTCTTGCAAAACTTTTTATAAATAATTTAGATTTTCAAGGAATTTTTACAAATTCCTTGAAACTCATCAACAAAGTAATTGTATAAGGGCTGATTTCCTGTATGTTTTGGATCTTCCCCACACCAAATTCAAATCATTGTTCATTACCAGTCCTCTGCAGATCATAATGACATGTTGGGGATGTAAAATTCAGTCATTTGAATATGAATGTTTGAGGAGCGACATCTCAAGCACGAAAAGCACCTTCTTTCAAATATTTTAGACACGAGTTAGAAAAAATGAATAAATAAATAAAAGAATCGGCACATTTCCCACCAACAATTTGGAGCTACGTTCCACAAAAAAATCCACAAATACTCAATCGCAAACAGGTGGTGGTCCAACATAAATACATAATGATTTGAAGGCAGGAGTGTTAGTCATTAAGTGACTAACCAACCTGTGTATTTTTAACTGCCTAAAAACAAGCAACTTACAGATCGTCCCATTATGGCTCCGTCACCGCTGTGAGCACAAACCAACAAATAGTCTGAAAGCGTCTCCAGCAGCAGGAAGCTCCATCATGTAAGAAATGGCCAAAACTGCAAAGACACAAAAAAGAGATTCCAACAAATACAAAACATCTACAAAAGAAAACATATAAAGATCTTCCAGCATGTGTTATGGTATCATTTTGCTATTCCGAAATGTAAAAACCATCCGTTTAACTTAAATTGCTGAACTGTTTAATAAATGTTTGAACATTTTTCTACAAAGGTGTAGTTTTTGCTGACCAGGTAAAAATGAGCCCAGCAGCAGCCACAAAGAAAAGCAGCTGAGTCCTAAAGAAGCATATTCAACTTGGAGCTTGTTGACAGCGAGCAGCCTGGATCCTGTGCATATGTGCAGTTTATGACTTTCAATACATTGCTGACGTCTGAGCTCTCAACAGCTTCCCACCAAATAACCGGCGCTCTTCCCTTTGCACAGCTGGTTTAAAGTTAATGTGTCTATATTTTTTTTAATAAAAAGGACACTTCTGAAGCTCCACTTCACCTTAACTGAATGTCTTTTCACGCTCTAAGAAGAGCCTGAAGGAGGAATAAAGAGACAACTGACCTCAAAGGAAGAAAATGTGTCCAAAAGCAGGAGACTGAATGTCGAGGTACAACTTCTCCGGTATGTTCAGCATAGCATGAAAAATTGTGGTTTCACACCGTTCTTCATAATCAGATTAAAAGGTTAACAGGAAAAGCTTGTTTTTTTTTTTTCCAAAAAATATCTTGCATTAGTCTGTTTGTGGGACATTGTTCCAAATCATTACACCTGGTTGTCCTTAGGGAGCGACAGGACCCAGTTTTATCTAGTTTCCAATTATTGTGAAACACCTGAATGAAACATCGGCTGAGGGAACATAAGTTAAAACACAATGGTAAAATCTTGGTTCCTCCACATAATTCTAATATCCTACAGCATCTTGTCTCTTAAGAATGTAAAGTTATGAGTCAGGAACCACAACATCTCTCACCTGCATACCCAATAGAAATAGTCAAACTCAGAGAATGTTTGATAATAATCGAAGGGATCCAAACTTTTTTCAGTACATTCAATAGTTTAATGTTTCATTTCAAATGATTATTTAGTCTTTCCAGATTGAAGCTTGTAAAAATTTTCTTGTCAATCATCAAAAAATACAGTTGAGGCTGAAAAAAAAGTACAATATTTTTGTGTCAATTTCAGTAC